TATGCTAAGCTCTGCTCATTATTTTAGAAAAATAAAACTCAATTGCAGCTTTAAAACTTAAAAGTTGGAAATAAATGAAATTCTTTTAATACTTAATGCAAACAACTTCACAAAGAAGATAAAGTCCTTTCAGAGTAACACCTTAACTGTTTAAATTTAGAAACCAAACTTGAAAGTTGAAATAGAATCCTTGAAAACTTTGTTATACCTACGATGTCTCCCACATAAATGATAAGCCACAATAACAAATATTCAAAGGCAAGGATATCGCTTACTCAACTGCTTAAGTTGAGCGCTAAGGTTCACGTTTGTTGTTTTTGTTGGTCTTTAAAATTTAGTAAAACTTTTTCGAAAGTACGGAGCAGAAGTGAGAAGACAAAACTATTTGACGCTTGACACACGCACCAAAAAATGTTCCCTTGTGAGAATGCAAAGTGATTATCCTGCAAAGAAGCGATTAATCATACGCGCGTGATTATCACAAACAGGCGACACATTTTAAGTGCGAAGAACGTGATCGATTTAAATGTACCAAGAAAAAAGAACAAAAGTATTAGTTAAAAAAAATTAATTTAAAGAAATTTATCTTAGCAGTTCTGATTTAAGAACTTTAATAATATACTCTCTTCTTAATTTAGAATAATTATTAAATTTACTGGAAGTCTGGAAAAATTGTTTAAATGCTCTTATTTACTGATAGTATATCATTTTATTGTATTTTAAAAATGAAATACAATATTTAAGCTCAAATATTGCAATATTTACGTTTTTGCAAAATACAAAAGCCTTTGCAAAACAAATTTAACTAAGGTAGACTGAGAAACGTGATTACACTTTGTGCAAAGATATTTATGCGTAAGTGGTAGTTAATGGTGATTTTGATGTGCTTGTGATGTGTGAATGTATGCTGGTGACGATGATGATGATGTGATGTTTGCAAATAATAAATTTTATCATTTGTCAGCAGTTAAACGATTGCAAACGTGCGATGCACAAGTGATGAATTCATAATTCATTGCACACAAATACAAAGCCTGGCAAACACTAGCAACAGCACAAACTATTTCCGTTTCCGTTCATTTTTTTGTTTGTTAATGCACAATTGACAAACACGATAGGAAAATATAAAAATAGAAAATAATAGAAAAAAATTGTGAAAAAAATCTAGTGTCAAAAACTGTCAAATGTTGCGT